TGTGCCTTAAACGAGGTTATCAGGACTCCCAGAAGGCTAGCACCAGTACAACGCACTTTCCCCCTTACATTGATGTCAGGTTCACCCGTTCGCTTTCGTCTTACTACCGTAGAAAAGTGACTGGCTTTGTAACATGGGCTGAACAGAGTATAGGTCTTACCTGGCGAAACACTGGCTCTTCCCACTTATTATCACTAGCTGTTCATACCGTGCCAGTTCACAGCGGTGGGACAGAGACCAAACAGACTAATATTCTTGACGTCAACTATGGAGTCGAGGGAAATGCTTCATCTCCCTCCTGCTCTTACGTATATTATTACTATCAAGCCATCACATAGCACCAGGCACGTTTTCCAGCCCGCTCGTTCACACACAAAAGAAAAAAGAAAAAAAAAAGAAAAAAATCGGGAAAACATTTTGACAATAGCATTATGCTCATCGCTCTCCGGCCGTGCGGACTACTCGCGCGAAGTCTCTCGCGTCAGCCCGTCCAGGTAACTGGTGGCGACAACAACAACCCGCTTACACAGCTAGCGCCTTGCCACTCTGATTCCGCTCGATCTGCAAATAGCGAGCAAACATATCCCCTTTCTCATCTCACCCATTCGAAGAAGGCAACATTGAAAGGTCACGGGACCAGAAAAGCGCGAGCGAACTCAGACCTCTCCTCGGGTGAAAAGAGGGACGATCGTCCAACATACAGTAAAGAGGGGGGAGCGCCGATCCCTCAAATTGTTTCACGACTTCCGTCTTTTCCCTTTTCGCTTGGCTGCCAAGGCAGGTGTAGTTTGGCAGTATCTCGCGAGCACCCCTACCTCAAGCCCGTGCTCTCTCTGCACGCATTGCGTCGCTCAACCTCTCCGTACTGTCAAGTTGCGTTGTCCCTCTCGACAACAGCGCGTACACTACATTACTTTCCCCGCACGCCGTGATCACTGGTGGGACACGACTATCATAAACTTGCAGAGGATGATGACGTCAACGAGTCACGGGGCACCCCACGTCTGGTTTTTTCTCTCTTTTTCTGCCCACCTGAGCCGTGACACACACTCGTCGTCTCGCTGGCTGCCCACGTGTAACCGCTTTGACCTTCTCTTCGCGGCTCGCTTGCATGTGTTGACCTCTGGCTCCCCTCTCTATCTCTCCCACTTGTTATGATCACTCACACACCCTTCCTTTTCCTCCCGCCTTTCTTGTCCCACGTCCTCTGGGACTCCGCTGCCGCGAGCAAGCCTCGGGCTCGCCTTCCACAGGTTGTGCCAGAGGGTGGTTCTTGCGAACCTGGTCCGGCCTGTTCCAGGACTGAAGGTCAGTCTCCCGGTCTCCAGCCTCACTCATCTCACTCTCGCCGCCTAAGTCCCTGTCAAGGTGGGCTTGTTCTCGGTCCACCGTGTCTACTGAGGTCTCAGTCTCATGATACGCGACCGTTACCTGCATCCTCGCCGTCACCCCGTCCCTCCTGCAGCGTCGCTCGGCCCGATCCTTGGCTTCCGTAATAGCGTCTTGCAGCTTCGCGGTAGTTCTCATCTCTTCCTCCTTAACCCCCTCCACATTAATCTTTAGTCTCAGTTCGTCTCCCCCATCATAACTGAGCATCACCGTAATCCAGGGCCCTTCCCTAGACATGGGTTTCCAGCGCGTTTGGAGGTACCAGTAGCCTGGTCTATAGCCGTGCAGTGCCATAGCCAGACTTTTCTCAGCACACCTTGCACCAGCCCAGTTTACCGCCCCAGAGTAGTCAGGGCCAAACCGCTCAGCGTGCAAGCAGACGCACACTAGCAATCTCCCGTTCGCTCGCTAAGGCTGCCTAGCCTCCCACCAGCAATAAGCTAATACTCATCATAGCGAGGTCGCTCAGGCCTAGCTTGCTAACGCCAGCCCCTTTTCCCTCTTATAAGATTTACGTTTACCGTGATCCTCGCGCTCTAGACGAGGGGTCAAATTGAATAAAGTCAATTACTAAGATAAAAGAAAATACTTTATTAAGAGGAAAGAGTTAAACCCAACAGACAACAGGGAAAATTAAAAGGAGTACGCCAACGGTCGTAGGGCCAGCCTCTTGCTCAAAAGGACCGCTGTGCTTAGCACGATGGTCCTATAACGGAACCCCGACCGACGCTCCGCTCCCTTAAAAACGAACCACCGGCCTGTCTCTTTCGGGTACCCGTGTCTGTTGGCAAGGAGGGGGTTCATGACCTCCTATAGGGGGTGATGGGCTTCCTACCGATGCGGTCGTGGGTCGCCCCTCTTTTGGGGCCTCACCGTGCGGGGCTCAACCATACAGCTCATTCACAGACGATATACGTGGGGTCAGCCAACTTAGGCCGCGGACCACTGAGCTCAGAATTGGAACCGTTGGCCTTTCCCGCGAAATGACAGGCCAACAAGGGAAAATTGAAATAGGAAAATTAGCAACGGTAGTAATAATGATAATAACAATAATGAACAAAAAAAAGAAAGAAGGGAAACACATCGCCGCCGTGGCCAGGGGTCACTAGATCGTTCCAGACTAAAGCAAGAGTCTGGATCGGTGCGCGGACCTGACACTCAACCCCCTTTTCCTCCTTTCTTTTTTTTTTTCCTTTTTTTTTTCCTTTTCTGTTTGAATGCAACAACGAGCTTACGTACCTAACCCATAACCTGGTTAGAGGGCATTCGGCGCGCAGTAGAAAAGACTGCGCCGGTCCCTCTACCTTTGCGTCCCTGGGCGAACCCGGTGGCTACCACGGCCACAGGCCGGTAGTGCTCTGCTGTACAGCAGGGCGCCGAACCTGCGTGGACCAAAGGAAAGTCCAATGGCGCACCCTTTTATTAGGACAGACGCCAACCGGACTGGTCCTTATCGAAGTTCAACTTAGGTGCCAGGCCTGTAAAGGTTCGGAACACGCCTGAAAAGCAGCGAAGGTCGGGACAGGGAAGTGGTACTGGGTAGGAATCTGGCACACAGGAGGGTCGGGACACCGCGCCCTCCGACATGATATCAAACCCCCACCTAGCGTCCCCGCTGGGTCAAAATGTGCCGGTTGAAGAGTATAGAACAACGCACAACTTAGGGTTCTCATTCATTTTCAGTACATCACAGCGATTCATCGTAGTGCTCTTGCGCCGATCATCGGGCTTTTCTCGTCATAGTGCTTTTTTTTCCTTTTCTCCTTCCTTTCGTCAAACACTTAGCTTAACCGTGAGACCTGCGCCTCACAGATTTTTGCTGTACACCTTTTCTCTTTCCGTTTTCTTCTTCAAGTGGCACTCAGCCTCACACCATGCCTGAGGCACGTAGGGGACAGGGAAGAGGAAGAGGAGGGAGAGGGGGCAAGGCTCGGGAGGAATCGTCGGTCCGTGCTCGGCGTGACTATAGCTCTGAGGAGGAGGAAGAAGAGGTACGGGGTTATGGAGCGCACTCAAGGTCTTATCCGCGCCACGCGCTCTGTGCATGGTACGAAAGGACTCCATCCCCGGAAAAGATGGAGTACTTCCGAAAAAAAATTGAAGCGCGCTATGGCGCGGCTAACACTTCCTCACCTCCTTACACTCCTAGAGCCCCTATCACTCCCACGGCAAGGAAAGCCCTAGTGCCAATTCCACTATCCTCTATCCCTTGCACAGTTTTTTCGCCCTCTCACTCCAGTAACTGCATCCTTTTCAGCATCTTCTTTCTCCTCTCTCTGCTTCAGATCGAGCTCATGACAATTTTCTATATCCTGTATAGGCGTGATTTTTTCTCAGCTTTCTGAATCTGTTTCTCTTGGAAGTTTTCGGCTCACGCATCACTCATAGCGTCCCTGGCTTGAGAGTTTGAACACCTTGAGGCCGAGGATACAGGTTCCTCGTGAACCAGGCCGCTTGTCGGCCACCAAATAAATTTAAGAAGGATTATGTTTCCACCTTCAATCTGAATTTTATGACAGAGAAAGGTTACCTTAACCTTCACCTTGGCTGTAAAATCGAAAACATTGTCGGTCTGATACCAATACTTGTGGTAGTCGTTCAGTCTGCCATGCTGGGAGTAGGGCATACCAAACCCTTTTTCTGTTTTCTGGCCTGAGTGAGATACCTTCTCAGTTTCTCAAGTGACTCAGGGGATACCAAACCCTGTCTTTTTTCTCTGGTCTGAGAGAAG